TGAACCCTGAACGGCACCGCTAGTCACTGGCCTCTAACTACACTTGGTGCCACTGAGCAGCACCCTCAGCCCGGCCGTTCAGCCTGTTGCAGATCTCGCTCGGTGTTGGCTCATACGGCCCATTTCCCTTCGAGTGACTTGAAGTCGAACTTAATGAGAGCGCAAGATGGGCACGTGCAAGCCCACAGCTTTCAAAATCCCATAACATAAACTTCTCAGACTGGGTATTTCCACTGACTGCCCCAAAACCTGCAGAGAAGAAAACACCCCGTAAATTACATGTGCAAGGCCAACACGTGTTTTTAATTCTGGCTTTGGCTTTTCTGACTGTTGTTTCCAGATGAGTGCTGGTTTTGCAAGGTGATCCCAAAAGCTGAGCATGGGTTAAAGCTCTTCCTCGAGGGACCTTTGGGCAGTGGGGCCAGCCGGCAGAGCTGCCCGGTTCTCTGGAAGATCTCTCTGAGCTCCTCCTGGGCAGAGGCAGCACTGAGAGGAAGGACAAGGGGGGCTGCTGGTGGCCTTAGCACAGCCTTGTCCCTGCTGGGCACAGTTTTGGTGTTTCCTGAATTATTTTTCCTCCTCTCCGGCGTAGCTGAAGTCGGATGCTATGCTCCTCCCTCATCCAGCGTCACAATCTGCCACTGTCACCACCGCAGCGCACTGAGTGTTTGTGCGATGTGCATTTCTGGGGCACTGAAACCCTTCTCTTCCTCCTCCTCCCTGCTGAAGGGTCATAGTCTGGTGTCCATGAACCAGCTGCGGCGATCACAGCCCCGCTGTGGGGATCTGCTCTGCACTCTCTGCCTCCGTCGAGTTTGCTTCTGAACAGCCCTGGGAGCCCGCTTGAAGCTGCTGTTGGAGGGCCCTGGAGCTGCATTGTCCCTTGGGGCTTGGTCACAGTGTGGGGAATGTGTTCTCCTTTCTGAGCAGTGGCAGCCTGTGATCTCCTTGAACTGGCTGCGGAGATCGTACCTGTGTCGCAGGGCTCTGCTCTGTTTGCTCTGCACTGGCAGCGTTTTCTCCCGAGCAGCCCTGGGTGCGGGAGCCGCCTTGGATCTGGTGTTGGAGGGCCCTGGAGCTGCATTGTCCCTTGGGGCTTGGTCACAGTGTGGGGAATGTGTTCTCCTTTCTGAGCAGTGGTAGTCCATGATCTCCTTGAACTGGCTGTGGAGATCATCTCTGTGCTGCAGGGCTCTGCTCTGTTCGCTCTGCATTGGCAGTGTTTTCTCTCGAGCAGCCCTGGCTGTGGGAGCCAACTGGGAGCTGCCATTAGAAGGCTCTGGAGCTGCGTCATCCCTGGGAGCGTGGTCATGACTTGGAGGACTAGTTCTCCTCCTCCTCCTCCCTGCTGAGTGCTCGTAGTCCGTGGTGTCCACGAGCCAGCTGTGGAGATCTTTTCCCCACTGTGGGGATCTACTCCGGGCCCTCTCCCTGGTGCTGTTTGTCTGGCAGCAGGAAGAAGTGCTGAATCCATGCTCCCCTTTGTTGCTGTCTTCTCGCATGGCATGCAGCACACTATCAGATGGTTGACGGGAGTCCAGGCATGCAGCTTTCCTTCTGGATACCAGCCTTACACAGCCACAGAAGAAGCGATGCAAGCAGGAGCCCACGTAGGAGACCATGCGGAGCCTGCCTGGCCAGACGCGGCACAGCCACCATGCTGATGCCTCCCGGGCACCTGCCGAGGTTACCTGGCTGGTGCTGGCTGGTGCAGAGGAGCCACTGTCCTCTAGAGAGCCCTCCATGCCCACCGCCATGTCCTGCAGAGAGAACTGTGGTAAGGTCCTGCCCTTTTCTCCTGAAAGGACCAGAACCATGCGGAACCCCCAGGAGCTGTGGGAGGGAACAGCCAAGGGCCTCCTAAAGGCTCTCCTGGAGGGCTGCAAAGGCAGAAGGGCCAAAGGTGGAGAAATGGGATGGATCTAGGTGGGGTGCTTGGAGAGGGAGAACTGTGAAGAAAGCTGCAGGTTAGGAGGGAAAAGAGATCCCAGAAATAAATCCACTGTCTGTCTGGTGCCCTGACCCACCTCCCCAGAGTTACCTTGGTCCGACGAGGCAGGCCCCGTGGTCCCACAGAACCCACCTGCTCGCTGCCGGCCGCCCACTGACTGAGGAAGGAAGGGGCGTGTGACGGTGCCGGTGAGGAAGCCCTTTCTCCAGGTTGCAAATCAGAGCACCTCCTCTGGGCTTCAGTCATTTTCTTGGAGTAGTTCCTACAACAGAGAGAAGACATAACCAAGACAACAAATGGGAAACTCAGTTGGGGTCTCCCCATCAGGTCTGCCCCTGTCAGAGCAAGATCTCTTCTTTATACATCCTACAGCCTCCATTTCATAGAGTCATAGAATCATAAAATGTTTGGAAGGGACCGTAAAGATCATCTAGTCCCACCCTCCCTGCCATAGGCAGGGACACTTTCCACTGGACCGGGTTGCTCCAAGCCCCGTCCAACCTGGCCTTGAACCCTTCCAGGAAGGGGGCAGCCACAGCTCCTCTGGGCACCCTGTTCCAGTGCCTCACCACCTGCACAGTAAAGAATTTCTTCCTAATACCTAATCTAAATCTACCCTCTTTCTGTTTAAAACTGTTACCCCTCGTCCTATCCCCACACTCCCTGATAAACAGTCCCTCCCCATCTTTCCTGTACTTTTAAGGTCTCTTCTCTACATTAGCCAGCTTCAGATAGAAGACAAGTAGCAGTTTACACCACGGCAGTGACCTAAAGCCCAGCAAGGGGCCTTATGGGCTTCCGTGGGGTAGTTTAGATTTGACAGCACAGAATGATGCAGGTGGTAATTGCTTCCTGTGACAGAAAGAGAAACATTCAGGGGGATGAGAAGGAAAAAATAAAAGTTTGGAAAAGGCAATGTATTCTGAACACATTTTAATACTTATTATTACCTGACATAAAACAGTAAATAGGCTTGTTGCCTGAGAACTGTGTCGATGTCACACTAATGCACAGACATATCATCCATCTTGTACCACAGTCCATTGCTGGCCTGTAAAAAAAGGCATCAATACCTGGAGATGAACTGTGTGGTTTCTCCAGAAAAACACAGGCAGAAAACTACAGAAGAAGCAAGAGTACACACACCACACCAAATCCAAACCAGCCCCTAAGGAGACCTTCTTCCCCAAAATCTAGTCTGCTGATACCTGCCATGAAAATCTGTCTTCCCCAGCACACATTTTTCCCTTGTTTGGAAGCAGGCTGCTCTTTACCTTTGTGTAACAGTAGTAGTGTCCTTCATTATAGCTGTCACTGCTATGTACCAGGACAGCATATAAGCAGTAGAGGAGCGGTTCTCCAGCTGCCTGAGATGTGTACGGGCGAAGATCCAGGCACTCGGGATACTCCACAACCTACGGAGAGACGAAGAGGGCTCCGAAATGATCCAGAAATACTCATGAAATAGCCCTCAATGACCAGGGGCAAGAGGTGTATCAATACATCTTTGGGCCCCTGGATACTTGGTCTTCCCTAAAGAAACATGTCTGGGTGGCAGGAAACTTGTCAGCCAAAGCAGCTCAGTTGGAGCAGAGTACACGCTTGTCTTCCCATGGGGACTCTCCTCTCCCCAGAAGGAAACACAAAAACTCAACATGAACAGCTTTGGGAAATCTCCTGCTTCAGGAAGAGAAAGTTGCACTCCAGTTGCGTACGCACCTTGCTGATCTTCCTGTCAGTGAAATCTTCAGCCCTTTCCAGACACACCATGAGAACCTTGGGTGCATGGTGGACTGTAAGGCTCTTGGAGGCGGCAACCATCTTGTCACACCATGAAACCAAGCACAAAGCCCAGTGCTGAAATGCACCCTGCCTTGCCCCAGGTGGCCAGGCAAGCTCTCCTGTCTCACACATCCTTATGCTATTTTAAGGCTATTCAGTACCATAAGGCCAAATAAAAAAAGCTACAACTCTATTCTGCATTAAACCTGCGTGACAAGATGGCTTATGACAGATGACATGCAGCACCTTCCCGCAGGATCTAGTATTAATATGTCATTAGTAATCATCTTACTGGCTACATTTAAAGCAGTTTTCACCATCCAGCTGCTCAGGTGTCACAAAGTTCTCCAGATCTGCGGTGACAGATGAGGCTGCCTGGAGGAGTGAGAAAGGAGAGCACTGAGCTGCGGGAAGTACCCTCGCCCAAGCACTCGCTAGGAGTTTACACAAAAACCCAGCTAGATGACACTGAGGAGAGCCACTGTGAACCGCCAAGAAGTGTCCAGAAGGAGGCAGAAAGAGGGTATTATGCTTGACATTTCCCTCATTTCCCCAGGATCCTTGGGCTATCAAGAGTTCTATCCCTGTGCCAGCGTTCAGTTCGTGTACTGATGATGCGCAGAGAGGATAATGGGTGCTTGTCCAGCTTAAGGCCAGCACCTACACGGAGACCTCTGTCATGGCCTCCCCAGAAGGACACCATCCTTTCCACATCCCACCCACCACCAAGTTCTCTTGTGTTTGCAGTACACATTTTTAAGTCAACTGTGTTGATTCTGGAAAGCTACAGGGACCTTGAGACATCTTGAAGCGCAGTTAGAAACCCTTACTTTTATATCCAAAGAAATATCCAGGAAGGCCTTGTAGAAATTGGTAGTCATGTTGCAGCTCGAGCACATGACTGGAAGGCAAATCAAAATGCTCAGTGATAGGGGAAATCAACTGATTGTGCCAGTTTACATCCTTCATACCTACTACACCAGTTACACAATCAGCTGTTTGTCACAGGCAGACAGAAGGACACAGATAAGGAGAAGAAGGGTTGTGGAAAAGTACCTCTGGATCTCAGAAAGCCCACAAATATTTGTTGGACAACTGTAGTTAGTTGAGAAGAGGTGTCCAAGCTGTAAATAAATGGTAAGGCAGAGAGTTATCTCCTCCAAGAGTTTTGCTTTGTCTGAAAGCCCTGGGCGTAGGGTTTCCTTGATGAGAGTACATCAAGATGTCCAAAGGGCTTGGGAACATGGAAAAAGTAATTTGGTTGTGCTTACTTGCTGCGCCCACTCAGACAAGCTGTCTGCATGGCACTGACAGTACAGCATAAGAACTCAAGGGCATCTGCCAGCACGCCGAGCTCGAAATGTACTCCTATTCCTAAGAAAGTAGTCGTCAGTAGTTCTATCCTACAAAAATGGCAGAAAACATGTAAAAGCACCTGAGATGACTTACGTGAGAGAACACTGAGGACATCCCAAGGCTGGATGGCACTGTCTGAGGAATGCAGCACCTTGTTAACGTGCGCTTCCATTCTGCACATCATGCAGAAGCCTTGCTGGTGACCTGCAGAGGGAGAGAGGGAAGGAAGCTTCTCCAGTTAGCAAAATACCCATAGCCATGGGAAACTTAGTGGAAATCTTAAGATTATAAGAACAGTTTCTACTCCTCTTGTCTCAAGGTGCTGACGTCTCAACAAGCCTGGAACATGTTAGTGCATAGGAAAATTTCTTCAGAGGGACACTAAACTGACACAAGTTTTATATACAATAAGCAAAGAGAGTTGTTTAACTTGCAGGAATAGAGACCCGGGGCTAGAAAGAGTTGTCTTTCTGAAGATGAACATTTCTAGTTACAACAAGAGGCTTCTAGGCTTGAGTGTTACAAGACCACCAACTCAGGGGGTTGACAAAGAAGGGCTGCTTTTCTCCTAAATCAAATTCCAGTTTCTGGTAATCCTTGGGAAGTGCCCAACAGATTTACAAGTAGATGTTCATAAAAGCACTCACACGACTGGCTGTGCTCCCGAGAGAGCAGGTAGTTGGCCAGAGGGGGTGTGTACGTCAGGCACTGCAGGATGGAGTTGAGGAAGCACATGTTCCCCAGGTTGTAGAGCCCTGCTCCAGCTCTCTGTCGTTGCTGCCAGTCCATGAAAATCTTCTCCGGGGAAAAGAGAATCTTTTGTGGTGGAGCCATTCCCTCGACAGTGGCTGCAGGGAAATGACATTTGAAAAGAGATGAGACAATATAGCTGCACAAAAGCATATTAGAAGTTGAGTTCTCCTCAGTAGTACCCGGTACAACCAGCTCTACATCCGACCCAGAAACACTGGGGGAAGCCTAACACTGCCAATGAAATTTGCTGGCCAAGTAACAGTTTGGAAAATAGTCTGTTCCCCTGAATACTTTGCCAAAAGTCCAGCAAACCCACACTCTGATTTCAGTGCCTCAGGCAACCTTCCCTTCCCTCTCCAGTCCTGAACTGGATTAGCAAGTCAAGTTTTCCCTTTTCCTGATTTTAACATGACAAAAACAAGCAAGTATCCACCCCAGAAGGTAAGCCTACTGATGTCATCTCTTTCTACGAGCAATGACAGCTTTCAAAGTCTTGTACATAGAGGCAGAGGAGTGATAAAATGTGTTTTCCTGTACGTAATGAAAAACACCTGGGTAAGTCTGGCTGCTACAAGGGAAGGCCCCAGAATTCACTCTAGATGGTCAGCACAGCAACACTCAGGGCTGGAGCACCGGCCACATCTGTTGCCTTTGGGCATTCCCAAAATACAAATGGGCTGGTGAAGCCGTTACTGACAGGAGTCGTTCCCCATTGCAGCCATCGCTCCTCTCAGCAACACAGGGAAGAGCTTGGGGTGACAAAGGATGTCAGGCTGCTCTCCAGACAGAGAAGATCAGCGCCAGTCCCTGATTTCAAAGAGGTAACTGTAGCTCAACAGAAGGAATTTTGAAAACCCCAAAGGAAACCCACAGAACAGCCTCCGCCATTAAGAGCATGTCAGTGGTACTTGCAGCTGCTGCAGAGCTGCAGGCTGCTGGCTGTACTGTCCCTGTCACAGGACTCCGACTTTCCCAGGGGATTGTGGGCGGGGACTGGGGTATATGAGCCCCAGCCACTCAACAGGGAGCTTGTTCCACTTCTGGGTTTCTCAGGTGTCAGTGCTCTCCCAGTCCTTCAGACAATAGCAGCTTTTGAGACAGATGTGTTTTGATCTCTAGAGGAAAAGAGCCATTTGAGGTAAGATTTTCAGGACCGGTCAAGGTTCAGCAACTTATCTAGTAGATAGAACATTTATATGTAGCTTGCCTTATTTATTTATTTATTTATTTATTTATAATTTATTTTTTAACTTTACATTAGTAATTTTATTTGGGAGGGCAAGATAGTTTAATAAAGTGTATTGTTTAATTTTAATTCTAGGAAGGAGCACGGATCCTTCACTGGCAGTTGAGGAGAAGAGGATTTTTTTATGGTTTTGAGATGGGGTGAGAGGAAAGCTACGTTGCTTTTCTGGGGGAGGAGGGTGTTGCAGATGAGGTGCACATCAACCGATAAGGTCCTTATGGCTCACTCTGTTTTTGTGCAGATGGCAAAAAGGAACCTAGCAGCTGTGGGAATAACCTGGTTACCCAGGGCGTTGTTTTGTCAAGGATGAATTCAGACCCTCAGCACCATAAAAGATAAGTTGAGGGACCGGTGCTTGGGAGAAGGCTCTGGGGGGCAGCCCAAGGTTGGGAATTGCAGGGAGAAGTTTTAAAGTTAATTTATGGGAGAGGGCTGTCCAGGAGCAGTGCTCTTTGGGCAGCTGAAGCGGGCGTGGAAGGGGTTCCTTGTTAGCACGTGCCAGGCAACACAGTTCCAGCCCGTGTCTGTTGTGTAGTGTGTGTTGTCTGTCTTGTGTGTCTTTAGACCTTTCTTGGGTTTCGACGTCCTTGTGGCTCTTTGAGCTCAAGGAGCACAGTAGTTGCCTCGGACATCTTCCTTTGGGCCCGGAACACCCATCCTCATTGGCACGGTGCCAACTGGGCAGTTCTTGTTTTTGCTTTACTAGACTAAAGCGTGGCTAGGTCTTGGAAGATTCCTGTCAGGCTGCGTTTGCAATGTCGTTCCGGGCTGCGTTAGCATCTCTGATCTAGAGCAATCCATTTTCACAAATATCTTTTCTAGGAGTTCTTCCCGGCATCTTGACGTTCTTAGGTCTTGAAGCGAGGTTACTTGTGCATGTCTTATCCCTGTGGAGGCTATAAGGTTTTCTCTCAAGCCACAACACTTGACTCTTCTCGGCCTGCCGTCCATTCTTCCTCACAGCCCCATAGGTCTTCTTGTCCAAGAGCATCTCTGATCTGAGTTGTTCCTCTTAAAGAGCTTATTTTATGTCTCTTGTCTTGTTTGTGTGCTGTGTCGATCTGTGCGTGTTTGTCTGTCGGAGCTGCTTTGCCTGGGTGCATAGAGGTGACAGTCATCCAAAGAAGTACAGTAAGGTTCTATGTGAATAAGCCTAGAGTTTGTAGGGAAAGGGCGTACCGTCCATTTCAGAGCAACTAGTTATGTAGCCAACAGGCAAGGAGAGTTCTTTCTGTAGCGCTATGCAGACACGCAGGGGATGAGCAGAGTTTTTTTAACAGCAGGCTGTAGAGACAATTGGGATGGTATACCTAAATGAAAATGGGATCTCTGGAACTGTTAAGCTATTGCTCCACATCCAGGCGACTCATTCAATATCGCTTTTGCAGATGAAGAGGGATGACTCGCTCACCTAATGGCAACAGAGGAGGTGAACGGAGCGGTTTAAGAAGGTGGGTTGGCGTGCAGCATCAGGGCAAGATGCAACTGGTGTGGCTATATGACTAGGCGATAGGCGCATTTGACCTGGAAGGCTCAAAGCGTTGAGCAAAACAAGGTATCAGCACTGGAGGGGATGTGGGCAAGGAGAGCCGTGACTAGGGGGCTGAAGCAGCAGTTATTTTTCAGGTGTCACATGGGTGAAGGTAGAAGCACGCCTCAGTCTCTTGCGAGCGGTAAAGTGTTTTCAGCAAATTGTTTTTTCAGTAAAGTATTTTTAGCAAAGTGTCTGCCGGCCAGTGCATTCAGCGAAGTGTTTTTAGCAAAGTGTCTGACAGCGAGTGTTTTCAGCAAACTTTCTGACAGTGATTGTTTTCAGCAAATTGTTTTCAGCAAAGTGTCTGACGGCGAGTGTTTTCAGGAAACTGTTTTTAGCAAAGTGTCTGATGGCGAGTGTTTTCAGCAAAGTTTCTGACAGCGATTGTTTTCAGCAAAGTGTCTGACTGCTTGTATTTTCAGCAAAGTGTTTTCAGAAAAGTGTTGGAAGGTGATTGTTTTCAGGAAAGTGTATTCAGCAAAGTGATTAACAGCGAGTGTTTTCAGCAAAGTGTGTGATGGTGAGTGTTTTCAGCCAAGAGTTTTCAGGAAAGTGTCTGACGTTGAGTGTTTTCATCAAAATGTTTTCAGCAACGTGTCTGACGGCGATTGTTTTCAGTAAAGTGTCACAAGGTGAGTGTTTTCAGCAATTTGTTTGAAGCAAAGTGTCTGACGGCCAGTTTTTTTCAGCAAATTGTTTTCGGTAAAGTGTTTTCAGCAAAGTATCTGATGGCAAGTGTATTCATCAAAGTTTTTTCAGCAATGGGTCTGACGGCAAGTGTTTTCATTAAAGTGTTTTCTGCAAAGTGTCTCACTGCGAGTGTTTTCAGCAAAGTGTTTTCAGCAATGTATTTTCAGCAACATGTTTTCACCAAAGTGTCTGACGGCGATTGTTTTCAGCAAAGTGTATTCAGCAAAGTGACTAACCGTGAGTGTTTTCAGCAAACTGTTTTCAGCAATGTGTCTGACTGCGAGTGTTTTCAGCAAAGTGTCTGACTGCGAGTGTTTTCAGCAAAGTGTTTTCAGCAAAGTGTGTGATGGAGAGTGTTTTTAGCAAAGTATATTCAGCAAAGTGTTTTCAGCAAAGTGTTATCTCCAAAGTGTCTGACGGCAAGTGTTTTCAGGAAAGTGTTTTCAGCATGGAGTCTGACGGTGATTGTTTTCATTAAAGTGTTTTCAGCAAAGTGTGAAATGGAGAGAGTTTTCATCAACGTGTTTTCAACAATTTGTCTAACGACGAGTGTTTTCAGCTAAGTGATTTCAGCAAAATTTCTGACGGCGACTGTTTTCATCAGAGTGTTTTCATCAGTGTCTGACGGCAAGTGTTTTCAGAACAAGTGATTTCAGAAAACTGTCTAATGATGAGTGTTTTCAGCAAAATGTTTTCTCCAAAGTGTCTGACGGCGAGTGTTTTCAACAAAGTGTTTCCAGCAAAGCGTCTAACGGCGACTGTTTTCAGGAAAGTGTTTTCAGCAAGGAGTATGACGGCGATTGTTTTCAGCTGAATGTTTTCAGTGAAGTGTCTGACGGCCAGTGTATACAGCAAAGTGTTTTCAGTAAAGTGTTTTCAGCAATGTGTCTGAAGGTGAGTGTTTTCAGCAAACTGTTTTCAGCAAAGTGTCTGACTGCATTTGTTTTCAGGAAAGTGTTTTCAGCAAAGTGTATGATGGCTTTTCTTTTCAGCAAAGTGTTTTCAGCAAAGAGTGACAGCGAGTGTTTTCAGAAAAGTGTTTTCAGCAACGTGTTTTCATGAAATTGTCTATCGATGAGTGTTTTCAGCTAAGTGTTTTCAGCAAAATTTCTGATGGAAGTGTTTTCAGCCAATTCGGGCAATGGAGGAACAACATGACGAGACGGATTCAATGTGGGTGATAGAGCATCATATATCGTGTGTTTATTGGTCCAGGGTACATATATTTATACAGACAACGCTAATTATTATGCCTACTAGTCACTAGCTGATTGGCTTAAGCTTTAAAGGTCGTATTCGCACGGTCCACCTACTTGCAGTTAGCTTACAGCACAAGCTTCTCATAACACTAAGTTTCTCATGCCACTATTTCTAATTCCTCTTAACCTGTTTTCGACACACCACGGTACACAAGGCCGAAGCGTCCTTGACATTCCTCATGTATCAGCAGCTGCGAGAAGCTGCAGGCAAACCCTAGTGAGGCCCAGCATCAGCGAGGCACCATCAGCCCTTAGAACAGGCTCTGATCGTACAATTGCTCGGTGGGCTCATGACCCTTGTCTCTGAGCCATTCTCCAACAAGCCAAGTGTTTTCAACAAAATGTCTGACAGCAACTGTTTTCAGCAGAGTGTTTTCAGCAAAATGTCTAACGGCCAATGTATACAGCAAAGTGTTTCCAGTAAAGTATTTTCAGCAAAGTGTCTAACTGTGAGAGTTTTCAGCAAAGTGTTTTCAGAAAAGTGTCTGACGATGAGTGTTTTCAGCAAAGTGTTTTCAGCAAATTGTCTGACAGAGAATGTTTTCAGGAAAGTGTTTTCAGCAAAGTGTCTAAAGGCGAGTGTTTTCAGCAAAGTGTATTCACCAGTGTGGTTAACTGCTTGTGTTTTCAGAAATGTGTTTTCTCCAAAGTGTCAGACGGCGAGTGTTTTCAGCAAAGCGTCTAACAGCGAGTGTTTCCAGGAAAGTTTTTTCAGCGAGGAGTCTGACGGCGATTGTTTTCATTAAAGTGTTTTCAAAGTGTCTGACAGCGACTGTCTTCAGCAGAGTCTTTTCAGCAAAGTGTCTGATGGCCAGTGCATTCAGCAAAGTGTTTTCAGTAAAGTTTTTTCAGCAAACTGACTGATGGCGATTTTTTTACGCAAAGTGTTTTCAGCAATGTGTCTGAAGGCGAGTGTTTTCAGCAAAGTGTTTTCAGAAAAGTGTCCAACAGCGAGTCTTTTCAGCAAACTGTTTTCAGCAAAGTGTTTAACGATGAGTGTTTTCACCCAAGTGTTTTAAGCAAATTTTCTTATGGAAAGTGTTTACACCTGAGCGTTTTCAGGATGGAGTCTGATGGAGAGAGTATTCATTAAAGTGTTTTCAGCAAAGTGTTTGACGGTGAATGTTTTCAGCAAAGTGTTTTTAGGAAATTGTCAGGCGGCGAGTGTTTACAGCAGTGTATTCAGCTAAGTGTCTGGCGGTGACTGTTTTCAACAGAGTGTTTTCAGCAAAGTGTTTTTAGGAAATTGTCATGTGGCAAGTGTTTTCATTAAAGTGTTTTCAGCAATGTTTCAGACGATGAATGTTTTCAGCAAAGTGTTTTCAAAAAGTGTCTGACGGCAAGTGTTTTCAGCAAACTTTTTTCAGCAAAGTGTCTAATGACGAGCGTTTTCATCCAAGTGTTTTCAGAAAAGTTTCTGATGGCAAGTTTTTTCTACCAAGTGTTTTCAGCAAAGTGTCTGATGGCTGCTGTTTTCAGCAGAGTGTTTTCAGCAAAGTGTCTGAGGGCTAGTGTTTTCAGCAACGTGTTTTCAGACAAGTGTTTTCATCAAAGTGTCTGACGGCAAATGTTTTCAGCAAAGTATATTCAGAAAAGTGTGTGTACAGCGACTATTTTCAACAAACTGTATTCAGCAAAGTGTTTAACCAGGAGTGTTTTCAGCAAAGTGTTTTCAGCATTTGTCTGACGGTGAGTGTTTTCAGCCAAGTGTTTTCAGGAAAGTGTCTGACGGTGAGTTTTTTCAGACAAGTGTTTTCAGCAAAGTTTCTGATGGCAAGTGTTTACAGCTGAGTGTTTTCAGGAAGGAGTCTGATGGAGAGAGTATTCATTAAAGTGTTTTCAACAAAATGTCTTACGGTGAATGTTTTCAGCAAAGTGTCTAATGGCGAGTGTTTTCAGAAAAGTGATTTCAGCAAAGAGTGTAATGGTGAGTGATTTCAGCAAAGTGTTTTCAGCAAAATGTCTGACGGAGAGTGTTTTCAGGAAACTATTTTCAGCAAAGTGTATAAAGATGACTGTTTTTAGCAAAGTGTTTTTAGCAAAGTTTCTGACGTCAAGTGTTTTCATTAACGTGTTTTCAGCAAAGTGTCAAAAGGCGAGAGTTTTCAGCAATGTGTTTTCATCAAATTGTCTAACGATGAGGGTTTTCAGTAAAGTTTCTGATGGCAAGTGTTTTCAGCCAATGTCTGACGGCGACTGTTTTCAGCAGAATGTTTTCAGCAACATGTCTGATGGCGAGTGTTTTCAGCAAAGTGTTTTCAGCAAAGTTTTTTTAAGAAATTGTCATACGATGAGATTTTACAGCACAGTGATTTCTGAGAAGTGTCTTTCAGCGAGTGTTTTCAGCAATGTGTTTTAAGGAAATTGACAGCGAGTGTTTTCAGTAAAGTGTTTTCAGGAAAGTGTCTGACGGCGACTATTTCATTAAAGTGTTTTCTGAGAAGTGTTTTTAGGAAATTATCATATGGCAATTGATTTCAGCTCAGTGATTTCTGAAAAGTGTCTATA